CCATTCCAGCTTCCCAAGCTCTGCTCTAAAATACCTAGGAAAGCCACCACCATTCCAGCTGCTTACTTTGCACCAGTGACAAGCAACTTAAGTGATTGTTCCTCATTTCTTCCTGCCTCAAAGCCCAGAAACTTCATTTCTCCTGGTGGAGGCAAGATGGTGCTTTTATTTCTCTGTCAGGCTTAGATAGGAGAGCCCAGATAAAGGAGAAGAGCACAGGCTGAGGATGGAGCCAGGCACCTAAGCCATCCATTTGCAGGAAACCCAGCATGCCGAGCACAAGGCACATGAGCACTGGGTGGAAACTAAAATGTGGGGCTGGGAAGTCGTGCAGCTGAGAGGGATTTACATGGCCATGCCCTATGTGCTGAAAGGTCCCCCTGCTCCTGTGCTGGGAGGGACAGAGTTCCTCCTGCCTGGCACAGAGCTGCCTCAGCCCTGGGCTGTGTGCTGCCCAGCTCGCACCTTGGCCCCACTTGGATTCACACACACCACACAATGCCTTCACACAGATATATTTATCAAGCTAAAAAAAGTTCTGGTTAGCTGTTTTGTTGGCTGTGAGGCTGAGTTGCGCTATCTAGGAGGGGAAAAGAGGCCACCTGGAGCTGTAAAAATCTCACAAGCCAGCAAAATAAGGAGGGCAAGCATGCTGGTGGGAGATTGGATATTTACTGGAGTGGAAGAATTCCAATACAGAAATGATTCATCTTCACAGCACGGTCCCTCCCCCACATTAAAAAAAATTCCTTTTACATATTTCCTGGAATATGTGATTGTACTAGAGGAGCATTTTATGCTCCTGTTATGAAAGGGAATCCAGTCCAGTGGGAGAAAGTCATTCTTGGAATAACTTCCAGTGAAATCAAGAGTTGTAACTGGACTGACTTCAGTGTAGCAAGTCCTTGGGATATTGGTGTCTGCTGCAGTCATGTTTTTGTAGGCAGTCTGGATCTACAAGTTTTCCTAGTATAATAATTGCAGTAAGAACTGTGAGGTTTTGTAACCAAACTCGTTTATGCTGGCAAAATCCCTTCTTTGGATGATAGAGAGGTGACTTACACCACTTAATTTCTTCCAGTTTTTACTTGGGAGTTGCTGTTCTATTATGTCTTTATGTTGTCTGCACAATAAGTATGAATGATTACTTCTGCATTGTTGTAACAGTACCCTTTTCTAGCATAGACAAACTATCATGTCTAAACTATTTTATTTTTTATAATGCAAATATTAGGATATGGTTAGGGAAGAAAGAAACTACTATCTTACAACAAAATAATAGACTGATGACCTACAATAGCCTGAAAGATAAATTCTGTGTGACAGTAAGAGAACAGAATTTACCAAAATAATCTAGATTATTTTCTTTCATTACTTTTATCATGATCGGGATCTTTAGTTCCTAAGCAATCTCTATAAACATCTGCATGAACTTATAGCCTGTATATGTCTATTTTCATTTCTAAGATCCAAGTTAATCTTGTTTGCAGCACGCAAAGAACTTGAGCAGGATGTGATACCACTTGATGTCATCCCCACTCAGAAATACAGTAGCCCTGCAGTATCACTGCCTGGCCAGCCCAAGGGGCAGTGGGACACCCACAGATTTACCATTGCCAGTTTGACTGCCGATGATCTAAGGAACTTCTAGGAAGCAGATGTTCCCTGGTGCATCTCCTGGAAGTGAAAGGGAGCATGATAAAGAGAACAAAGTTGCAGGGGTAAAAATCTAAGCATGGGGAAATACAGCATCACCTTGAAGGAGGGATTTCAGCTTGTATTTTGTCCCGGAAAGAATGGAGATAGGCTTAGAAGGTTCTTAAAGCAGAGATAAACAGGTGTGTTTGATGGTTTAAAATCAGTGAAACTCAATCTGTGCTTGTAGAGAGCAGCTTTACAATATTTCCCCATGTATGGCACATGGAGCAAAGTCGCTCCACCCGTTGTGCACAGCAAAGAAACCCATCTGCATGCACAGAAAAATACCATCAGCCACAATATAAATGCACTTGTATAAGTTGGGTTGAATTTTTCTCTTACTGAGGTAAGGAGATCAGTGGAAAGGGGTGACAAAACAGCAAGCAAAGAAAACAAATTTTGTAGCAGCCCTGTGAATGTGTATGCAGCTGCAGGGTCAAGGAGTGTGTGTCTCACAACCAGAAAAAGGATATTGCAGCAAGCAGTATAAAAGAAGGAGAGTCTGGCACAGTTTGGGCTATCAGGCTGGCTAAAAAAAAGACTGTATCTTGTAGCTATTACCCAAAAATAGACTGCAAGACTAAAAATAGCATGGATATATCAACGTCTAAAAAGAGATCAAAAATGAAGCCCATAAAGATTTTAAGTCATATGAGATGCAGAACTTAAGGGCTTATAAAAGAGAGTGATGAAAATTAAATTATACTAATTCACACTACCTAGTTTCAATCCCCAGAGTCAAAACAAGCAGACAGCTTTATTTACTTTCTTTCATTTTTTCTGGGATGTACAAACTGAAGGTGCTGTATGCCAGACCTCCCATGCTTCTCCTTTACAGACCATGTTTCCTGCTTGCACAGGCCTTTCTCTTCTGCCACCACCTCAAGTATGTGCTTTGGTGGCTACCTCAAAAAGTGCCTGGAGGACTGAAAAGGTGAGAAGCAAGAAACTGGCTGTGTCTGGAGGAACAGGCTGTGTGAATCCCACTCTGCAGGTTAGACATCTGTCTCAAGTTTGCAGGTTTTGCAAAGTATTTCACGTGCCACCTTCTCTTGCCCATGGGTTAGGATGCCCACCAAACAAAGTTGGTGTCCTGGTCTTGAAGAGATGGCAGCAGATCTGACTGAATAGGCACCAGCAGCTCACACAGGCTGCTGTTTAGCAAGTCTTGGCACCACCAGGGGTGTAGCCAGCTGCCCAGGGGCATTTTAAACTTTAGTTACAGACTCAGGACCCTTGGTTAAGATATATCCTGCTAAGATACTCTAATCTTTCATCTGATTTAACCCTCCATCCCTGCTCAGAGGTATTAAGGGTTTAATTCAGCATTTGCAACAGGACCCAGATAGATGAACAGCTTAAGGTGAAAAGACAAGCTAAGCAGGGGGGCTGCAGCAAAGGCTGATTCTTGTCCCATCTGGGGAATACACAGAGCCCTGTCATTTATGCTGTGTGCTGCTGCAAGCACTGGACACGAGCTGGCCCAGCATGAGCAGTCTCTGCATGAGCACACCAGGCTCAGGTGAGACAAGGAGAGCCACAGGAGAGGCAGGCAGGCTGCTGGGGCAGCATGGAGAAAGGAAGGGAGGGAACAGCTCTACTCAAAGCCCTGCTTATGCAGTCATAGCCTGTCTGCAACCACAGCCATATGGACTGCAACCTCCAGCCAGACTGGAGACTCAAGCTTCCAGCTGCTGTTGAAGTGTCAGTACCTCCATCCAATCCCACCCTGGCTGTTACAATTCTCCTCCTAACCATCACTACCCTGTCAGCAAAACTGTTTGTATGCTTCCCCTGCTCTTCTGCTATCAAAGTGAGTTGTGCTAGCTCAGGCAGCTGAAACACAAGGTCTGCCTATATCTAGTTCAGTGCTAATAAATAGGTCAAGGAAAGCTGGCAGGGTGTGTGTGCCTGAGAGCTGGGTGAGCAGTAATCTCCTCAGCCCACAGACCTGGAGTTTACACAGATAGGCACCTCTGTGCTGCTGTGCCCCATGCACCCAGGAGCTGGCTTTGGCTTGTGTTCAGGGCAAGCTACACCAAGAGGGTGAGTCTGGTCAGAGGAACTCCAGATGTGCCCCACACTTTTTCATCCCTACATTCTCCTTGACTGCCTCTCCCCCCCACTGGCAGTCAAGGAGAAGGTTCCATTGAGGCCCAGCTGGGGTCAAGCAGAGCCACCATGCTGCACACACTGCCAGGGGCACAGTCCCTCCCTCCTGGAACAACAGGGTGTGAAAGCAGAGTGTGGATGGTCCTGGCCATGCAGGGTGCAGTCCCTCTGCCTCAGCACACTAGAGCATGATGATGCTGCTGAGCTGCCTTCTCACACCAGCAGTTTTCATGCCCCAGTTGCTTGCAGCTAGTGAGACATGGTTTTGGTGATGCTTTAAATGCTCAGATCTTGACTACTGGGGCCTAGCAATGCTCACCACCTCCTGTGGTGTAGATGGGTTTGGGGTTGAGCTTATGAGAGCACAGAATTTGCAAGTTCTCACCTCTTCCTTCCTTCCTTCTCAAGCCTCTCAAATCAAGATGCCACAAACAAACCACTTTCGTGCAAGTGCACTGTTTTATGTAATTCAGAACTGCAAAATCACTTTCTCCAGTACCTTAGCAGGCATCAGCGTGAGATTGTCTGACAAGGGATCCAAGGAGACCTGGTGTTGACTTTTCTGTACAACAAGAACCTTTACTCTCTAAATAAGATAATTATCAAGAGGGTGTTTGTGCCCATTCTTGTTTTCGGGGACTCTCCTTTCTCTTTGCCACCATGACTCATAAAACTCATTAAGCCAGAGTATGCCTAGCAGAACATTTAATTACACAGCAGTTGCAGGGTAGTGACGGAATCTATGTTTAACAGGCTGACAGCAAGATGGCTTTATCTACAAAGCTGCTTAGATGTCAGTATAGCCAGTGCCATCCATAAGGCTGGGCAAGCCATACCAGGCACCAAACCAGCAAGGAGGAAGGTAAAATTTGTGCCAGGAGTAGGCTCAAGACACTAGAGATTTGCATAAACAGTCTGAAAACCGGCCTGTCATCACCATGACTAGGGCAATGTGTGGAAACATTATCTGGTAAATCAACAGCCTTGCACTGCACAGTGACCTAGATAGGAAATACGATGCAAGAAGGGAGAAGGTGAGACTGTGCACTGTTGTAACACAAAAATCAGCTTATTTGCTGCTGCATTTACTCTACCTATGAGTTCAATAGTCAATAAACCACTTGAAAACAAGTTCTAGCCTCTCCCTTCTTTCTCAGACTCTCTCACAGCAATACAGCATGCAGCCAGACTAATTTATGAACAATTTATTTCAGTAGTTAGCAAAACGTTAACAAAATATTCTTAAAACCACTGTACACATGTCAGGTATGGGTGCACAACTTCAAGAGTACAGCCTTAGGGTGTCTGAGAAGCTGCTCAGAGAGATTACACCAGCACTGGAGTGACTCCTTCTCTCTTGTGTGTGTGAACAGGCTTGTTTACATGAAGAAACTCTTTCTATTGGGGCCTTGGAGATTGCAGTAGACGATTCAGTTGCAGCAGCCTGGGATATGTGAGAACGACTTTGCTCACTGGAATAAAAAAGCAAAGGGAAGTTTTTGGGAGTTAATGCATGACACTGTTAGAAATCCCCTCCCATTTGTACATTTTGTCCCGATTACTTAGAAGCCGAGCATGACCAAGTGATTTGTCATCAGTTTTGGTTTTGTGAGGTTTTTCTCCTTGTAATTTACCTTACAATTAGCACTTTGTATCATACATTCTAGCTCATCTAAAGGGCTGGTCTTAAAATTCCACCATAAAACCTCAGCACACTAATAGAAGTAAACTCTGTTCTGGTACAGAAAACACATCTCCCTCACCTTTAAAGAGATTAAGAAATTGTAAGCTTTTTTAAAGAAATTGTAGCTGGATGATACAGGAAGGCAGAGGAATGACAGCCTTGTAGGGCAGTGGCTCAGTTTTCCTATATTATTATTATTATTATTATTATTTCCATATTGTTTTTACATCAACAAAATTAAGGTTTCTCTTAACTCTGAAACTCTGCTGGCAGGAAGAAAAACATTTAAAGATTGCATACAAAGGTCTTCGAGATCAAACAATAACTTATCTATAGACCACCGTTCAATATGCAGTCTGTAAGGAGGAAAATAGTTTGCTTTCATTTTTTCATTCTTCTGTAGACAGAATATTGCCTCCAAAATTAGCCTTGTTCACTCCAAATTAGTGAGCTTAGCCAAAATTAAGCCTCTTTTTTATATTTTCAGGTTTTTTCTCCCCAAAAGTAACCAAACAAGTAATGGAGTATGCCACTTTCAAATGCATAGTATACAAGACTTTGATATTGCCATGAGGCTGAGCTATCAGAAGTCAGAGCAAAATTTTCCTTTTTCAATACAATTTTTAAAAGTTATTTATTTAGAAAATAATACATGAAACTTTACCCAAACACAACTTCTCCCCCATATTTAAACTCTAGCTACATATTGGAAAATACAGTGCAGCTAAATTTTGGAAGACAGTGCTTTTTAATCGCCATCACAATCAAGGAACTTCCCTACATTAATGAAAAGGGAGAGTGTTAGGTCAGACTCTTCTGGTTTCTGTAACAGTCACCTGGTTTCTTTCTATATTTACATATTTTTCAGAAACTAAATTCCAAGTGTTTTGCCCTTGGGACTTCATCTAGAGTTATGTTTGTCATTACTCTCTCATATATTACCACACTCATGACAGTCCATCAGAAAAATGGAATAATTTCTACATGGTGAACTACAGCATGTATTGCTGTATTCACTGGTCCCAGTGAAACCATTTCTCCATTTGTGGTGGAGAGGGAAGGATCCACTCTTCAGGAGTGTTTCTTGACTGATTGAGGCAGGTATCTTTTTTTGTCATTTCCAGCTGACGGTCACTGTGGCTTCATTTTCCACACTGCTGCAGTACTCTCAGTATAGCATCTAAGGGAATTTCTCCCTCCAAACACATTTTTGGGAAGAGCCTTATATCTTAATTATTCTCCTCTCAAGCTGTCCTCACACCTCATCTCACAATGAAGGGGATCCTGTTCCCCTTCCTGGTTCCACCACACTGCTCCACAACTCTGCTCCCTCTGCCTCCATTGGAGCTCAGCACTCCCCCACACAACACTGCAAAACCTCCTCAGGGATGAAGACCTCCTCTATTTATAGAGCACTGAGGCTAGATGAAAGTTTCCAGGGAGTTTTCTGGAAGAGCTCACATCTAGCTGCTCTCCTTACAAAGGGAAACAAGCTTCCACCTTGCTTTAGAGTTTTGCCCAGCTCTAACAATCACTGAACCTTTGCAGTACAGTATGTAGTGCACCAGGCATGTGTTTGATGTTATATTGGCATTTATGAACCTCTGAAAACTTTTCTTCCTGACATGCTTGGGGCAGATTCTCTACCAGGAACCCATATTCTCAATTGATTTTTGTCCTAGGTCTGTGATTCAGAGCTGTCTTAAGATAACAGAGAAGAAAAACTGTTTTTAGCTTTGTGCTGCAGTTTTTCCTTAAAAGATTAAGGCTGCTATTTTAAAATAAAAAAATAAGATTCCATTAACAAATGCACTGCTGCACGGTGCTCCACAAAGATGTGTTTCAACATTTTTTTACTCGTGTCACAAGTTAAATACAGAATATAGTGGATAAATAAAATATTTAAAATAGTGGATAAATGGCTGTGGCTGTAGCTAAAATAAGGTAGGAGTCAGGCTGGGTTCACAGGGGGGCAAATCCACAAACAGTCTGCACATAAATGAGCAAGCCTCTGAAACTGATAAGTTGCTGTTTTAAAAAAAAGAAAAAGGCAGCAAGTCTTTGACTACTTCTGCCCACAGCACATGGCTTTTATTGGAGGATGTGTTTGCACAAAGGGAGGAGTGTTGCCTCCTACACAAATTTCAACAATCATTTGAACAATTCGGTAAATAGATGAGGACAGAGTCTTCATCTCTTGTATGCCTGTCCCCTCCAGTCAGAAGTCAATCACACAGTGAGGAAGCTCTAAACTAAAGGAGAAATACTTTTTAGGAATCTGCTTTTTAATGAAAACTCCTGAACATGGTCCTGACATTACCAACAATCCGAGGGTAGACACATACACACTGATACAAACAAATGAACAAACAACAATATACACCCAAAACAACAACAAAAAACAGAATAATTCCAGGGAGAAAATATAACCTAATGCAACAGGAGTGGAAAAAAAATGAAATCCACCTCCTGACAAGATAAACATTATCATCTTCCCTTGTACTCTAAGTGGATGAAGAAGGAGCGAGTTGCTTCTTGACCTGTTTTTTCTTCTGCATAAAAAGGAAAGGCCATTTCTTCTAGTACCAATAAAATGCCACCTTTGCTCTAACTCACTAATTAGCTGACTGGAGGAGCAAGGAACAGGTTCAGGTGACTCAAACAGTGACAAGCTGATGCAGAATGATAGCAAGACTCAATCACAACCCAGCACTAATTACAGCTCTGTAGCACATACTATCACTGTGAACACAAAACAAGGATGTTAATAATACAAATTTAGCCACTCACTTACACAAAATCCTTGTAAGCTTAATTTTCCAGGACTTAATATTTCACTACTGCTTTGTAAAAGCTCTCCAATGTACAATTCCAACATTATGTTTCAGTGGATTCATGAACAGCATTGTGCCATCTGAATGCCCACTGAAAGAGATAAAATGAGTAGTGTCACTTTAGATCATGCAGGGAGAACAATTTTTGTGATATAGGAATTTAAATTCCTGTATATCCACTACTAGCATTCCTGGTTTATAAGTATCTGTCCTTGGTATAAGTTGCTTGGGAAGTACTTTAAAACATGATTAAATACCTTGCTCTGGTATTAGTCAAAGAGTATTTGCAGAGAGGATAGGAAGAATAAGACAGAGAACACCATCATAACGAGTGTGCATCAATATCACAAGTTTTAATACCAAATGAGTTCAGTTCTAAAATATCAATAACTATTATCATCAACAGCCAGAACCTTTCAACTACTAAAACCTGAAAAGAAAAACAAAGAAACAAACAAAAACTTACAAAATTGGAGTCCCTGGCATGCTGTTTGCACCATCAATAGCCTGAAACACCTCTCCTTGCATCCTCAGACAGCAGTATCAGGTGACACTAGCCATTATCCTGTCTTGGTACAAAATACCCTGCCCTTTGCATCTGCTGATTCTCTCAATTCAGTTTCAAAATTAAAAGCTTCTCTTCAATCAGAGAAAAGAGAAAGTAGAAATGGATCAAGTTACATAATCTGAAGTAAATAAGAGTGAAGTTACATGACATGACCGAGTCAGCTTACTATTCTGACTTGGGTGGTCCTGCTTTTCCCTCCCAAACTCCTGGCCCTGCTGGTCCACACCCTCTCTTACACCACATCAAACCACTTGGTAAGCTGATCCAACTTGTTAATCCAACAGAAAACTACTCTCTGGAACTGACTCACCAAAGGGCTTGACAAGAGCGATGCCAAGGAGAAAGGCTCTGGAGGGAGCAGAACCACCCCTTCTGGTGGCAGCAACTCAACACTGTGTCTTAAGTGAACCACAAGTGAAGAAAGCCAGAGAGGCACAGAGTAAGGGCACTGTATCTTTGCAAAAACAGACATCACAAAGCCCTTGGGATGGGATAGACACTGAAGGGTGCAATGGCAGGAGAGCAACAGGACACTGGATTGAGTTATGCATCAGAGGGGGGCATGGGAACACAGGCACTGTCCTGGCAGAAGGAAGAATGGCTAGTGACAGAAAACACAGTACTGAGCCACCTGGACTGCAGTGGCTCTTTGGGGCTCAGGCTCACAGTGCTTTTGTCTGCCTGCATCTGTAGCCAGCCCTGGCAAAGGTGAGCTCTTTGGGGCAGATGTGCTACTTTGACAGTTTTAACAAAACCTGAGCTATAATATTGAATCTCCATTGTTCAAGAAAAGAGGGAGGATACTATTGTTCACTCAAAAAACAAACAAAATGCAGTTCCTTGAGAAGCCTGTCCCCATTCTTCTCAAGGAACTGCCTCATCAAAAAAGAGAGAACAAAAATCAAACCACTAAGTGTTATTAAGGAATACCACCTAGTCAAGTCTTATCAGCTCAAAACCTCACTTGCTATTATCTTTTCCTTCCTCTCCTAAATTACTGAGACAGGTCTCTCCTTTCATAGCAGCAGATCTTTTAAGATCACCATTTTCTTGGAATCTCCCCTACTTGCACAACTGCCTCTATAAGAAAAAGAGTTTACGGGTTCCAGAAATTATGCTAGTCTTCTGGAGACAGGGAAAAAATGTCCAGGTTTTCAACAAATTTGTCTTCATAGTTTTAAGGAACACTTCTTGAGTTCCTCTCTTGAGCTCTGGGTAACTGTTCATAGGCAATCAGAAAAATAAATGAAAAAAGTGGAGTCGTTGTAACTCATTAAATAGCACCATATATTGCAATGCATGAACTGAGGTATTCTCAAGCTTTCCAAACCAAGGTACAGAGGGCAAACTGTCCTTGCCTACACCCCAGGGCATCCCTGTTCTCTTTTCCAAGTACAAGACCAGGCACTGGCAGAAGTATGAACTACGTGCCTGGCAGCCGAAAGACAAGGAAAGAGAAAATATGATGTGCAATAAATCAGGTACACACAAAATAATCGTGGCAGGTCACATCATCCTAACACTGCTCGGCATTGTTTCCACCTTAATGATCTTTCAGCATGTCACCATGCTGAATCATGATGACAGAGAGGCAGGAAGCACATATCAGATGCAGAATGAACAGGTCTTTTTGTGATTGTGCTGCTATGAAGCACTGGGCTTTCTTTATGTTGGAGTCCTCTGTTCTCACTCTGGAAGACTTTTCTGCAGAAAAATCAAGAAAAAATTCTGGAGCAGTTCAGATACATTTGACCTACATACAGATAAAACAGGAATCTCTCACTTTTTTTGCCCTCAAAACTGCTTATTGCTGTATCAGTGAGTGAATTTCAAATGGGTTTAGAGAGTGTTCTTTAAAAGTAATTTTCTGTTCATAACTGGACTTTAAGCACCCTGAGGGCCTGCTGGCTTGCTTAAGTTAGAGGCCAAAAATGTACATAATTGTCAATCTTTAGCAAGACAGGGAGTTCTTTTCTAACCAGAGCCAGAAATACTCCCTCTGGAGAAATCTCACAAACAATGTGAAAAAAAGCTTTTGAACTTTCCATGGTACAAAGTTTAAAATGAGGACAAAACTGGAATGAGTTGGTCTTGAGGATTTTCTAAGCTATGCTGCATTTCCATAGCTTTACAGATACAGACATCTGGAAGCAGAATTTTCAGCTTAAAAGAAGAAAAACCCATTGTTTTGTATTTAACTGGCATAATTAATTTTCCTTAAATGTGAATAAAATTATTACTGTAGACAAAAATTTTAATATGTATAAATTTCTCTGGATCAACCCTAACCATATTTTGGTATAATAAAAATAGGCTATATTCCAGGATATGAAACTGCATATAATTTCAGACAGATTCAGGGACAGCAAAACCAATTTTAGTTAAACAGCCTGGAGGAATCTCATAATATTCAAGACAGTATTAAACAAGTTTACATAAAGTAATTGAGAATAATCCTTATGATTTAGTCCAACACTTATAAACTCAGATTATAATGACAGGTTTTTTCTTTTAAACATTAGACCATTATGATATTCTATCACTTTAATTTCAGCAAAAACTTTTACTGAAACTCTATAATGGCATCAACTAAGCAGAATGAAAGATGGTACAGGGTGCAGCAAGATTTTCAGAGCTCTAAGCCAAATTCTCTGTTGTCCCAAGGGCCCTATGCCACTTCATACTGTGGAAAACACCAAGTTCCTGGCATATCAAAGCCTGGATCTTGAAAAGTTCTGAGATCCCTTCAGTTGTGCTGCCCAAGTGACTTGAAGGACCCTGTGTTTGGTGATGGGCTCCTCTGTAATGGCTGGCACTAGTCCTGCCAGGCAGTAATCCCACACCTACTGGGTGACCCTTTCCTTGCCTTCCAGAAACAGGGGCCAGGGGAGCTATCTGGGAGATGAATAAACCATGCTAACCCTTTGAGTACCTCAGGAAAAGAGGGTGCATTCAACAAAGGAGCACTTGCATAGCCTTGTGGATGTACTCTGTACACTTTGTCCTGATTAGAAAGGAAGTGAGCTTGACAGAGAATCCAACTCAGACAAACAGTTCTGTCCTTTAATTTGGAAAATCTGCAACCTGTTACAGTTCACTTGCTAGTATGAAAAGCAAGCTTGAAAAATGGTACTGTTGAGACCAGTGAATAATGGTTTAAGTGGAATAGCAGCAGTCAGGGTGAAGAACATGGTGGAGTGGTCTGGGTGGAGGAGAGCAAATGCTACAAGCCCCCAAGTTCTGACTTTTAATTATGATGCTGTTGGGGACATGCATGTGTCTCACTGATGCCTGACACTACCACCCACCTCAGGAGCACAGGCAGTTTCCAAGAGGCCTTCTGGCAGCAATGAAAAGCTTAGCCTGGAGTCCAAGCACTTTTTTCCCCATTCACAGTGAAACAATCTCAGCATGAGATTACTTTTCATTTAAACTTTATTTCTGAACTGACTTTGTAACCTCCTATAATCTTGTTACTCTGCATTCCCCTTCTCCCTGGACTTCGAAGATTCTGTTTTGGTTGCTTATATAATCTCAGTGCTGCAGTACACAAGCTAGCTAAAGCATGCTATAAATGCAGCTATTATTACTACTTAATAAAAACAGAAGAGTTATTCATTGACCAAACCTTTTTTTCCCCCCTTTCTAATAAACATATCAGATCCATATCTAAGTGGTGATAAAAAACTATGACCTTGCACTAAGTTTACCCCATAACATCCTCATCACGACTGGTATTTAATTTTAAAGACTTTTCATTGCGTTCTCTGCAAAGCAGTATGTCTCATCATTACCTAGTTACCAGTAAAGCTTTTTTCCAACATTCACTGACACAGACAAGAAATTGGCTATCTTAGAAAGGCCACTTATGGGGCCAAGTGAAGAGCGACCAGCTGAAAAGAAAAAAAAAAAAAAAAGAGAAGGAAGTCCTTTCCTCCTCTGTTCTGGCAACCATCATATGGATCATTTTACTTAGTATACCACATGTTGCTTTTTGTTGTGCTTTGTCCTTACACTGTCTTTTAAGGCACAAGTTCTTTGGCAATGAATAGAGTCTTCTATGCTTGGAAAACATTTCTAGCATGTTGCAAACACTATTGTAATATAACTACTCATTGTCCTCCTGAGTTTCCTTACCACCACTGCTCCTCAACAGAGCTTTGTCACTTGTTTTACAGTTCTACATTAAGTTTTGTGTCACTGGTGTAGTGCTGCAATAATAAGGCAAATGCTTCATACACCCAAAGATGGATTTTGTTGAAGTTGGTATTTCTGTTAACCATGCTGTGAAACACTATGATGTCAAGACAACCTGAAGTAGCTTAGCACATTAGCAAATGTGAAAACTAAGACCTTTAATTATATCCCAAAAGACATGTGGAAAAGAGAGGGAAAGAACAGAAGACTTTTGAAGCCAAATTAGCCTGTAAATTAATAACTATCATTAGATTTTAGCCAGGCACCATATTTGTGCCTTGGTCTCTTTCCTAGTTGTTTCATGGTTGGATGATTGAGTTTCAAGTCTGTGACTTTCATCTCCATTGTGTTTGCTGAAGGAGTACACAACAAATACAAAAGATCTTTAACTCTTCAGTTTCTATCTGGCAGAATACCATTGTATGCATTTCTCAAGTTTTTGAAAATAACAGCCTTGACTTTCTTCTCATTTAGCCCAGTTTAACAATGCTACAAGTCCAAGGAAATCAGCTGAATGAATCTCTTCTTAAGGCATGCTAGAGTAATGCCTAAACCTAGTATTTTTGACATACCTCATACACCTATAGTTGAAGGAAAAACTCTCATTACACATATGTAAAAATCTGCCCACTTCATGCACTGGATTTAAAACTTGGTTTTAGTCCACTTTCTTCTGCCCTTACCACAAAGAAATTACTAATCTGGAACTTTGATTTTAGTTTCCATCTTTTCCAGTTCATTTGCCACCTTGTTTTTCCTTTGGTGGTTGTTGTTGTTTTTAATTCTCCCTTGGAGCTCACTAGTCATATTCACCTTGAAATTTTATCCACTGGGCTTTCATGACCTTGTCCTCTGAGTACTCCTTTTGCCTTTCTAATAATTCACCCTAGTTTTCCTTCTCATTTTTCATGTATGTTCCACAAGGCACTTGTAGCCTTAGTACACTTTGTTTCTCCTGCATTCTTCATAGAGTACATTCAGTGCCTAACATTTCTTGAAGTTCTATTACTATGCCAATCAATCCTAAATCCAGTTCTATAGAAGAGATAAGAACTAAACAATTTTTTTATTAATTGCATGCATAAAGTCATGTCACTATAATACAAGTGTATTGCAGTGTTACACCTCACAAAAGCCTGTGAGAAGCAAAAGCATTAGTATTCCTCTTCTACAGTGGCAGAGAACAAATCACTTATCCAATGTCACGTGAAGTCTTGGGGCAGCCTCTGGGTTCATTTCACCTTTCTACCTCAAGATCTGTATATTGGGTCATGTATATTACACTTGGGCTTTAGAATGCATTTGCTTAACTTACAGGCAGTGCAGACCAATGGCATGTATCGTGTCTCACCAGCCCAGCCCACAGAGCAAAGATTTGCTGTCTGTTCACAAATGGTTCTCTGAGAAGATGGATGGAAGAAGATCCAGCCCAGGAGGAATAATTGCTCTGCCTCACTACACGGCTCTGATGCATCAGTCACTGTGTTGGGTTCTACTGCTGGAAACTCCACTTTCCTAAACTATACCACAGGCAAGCAAAGCCATGGTTAATTGGATCAGTGGAAGCTTAAACATCACCTCAGAGGAGTCCAAATGCCCATGTGGCTTTTGGCAACGGACGTGACCGAGCTGAGACCTTTGTCCCTCTACCAGCACCGCTCTGCCAAACGAATTTCCTTTTGCCCGTCAGGGACTTTGCCACGTTCATCACAGCACAGGCCCCAACTCCTGGGCTCGCCTTGTTTTGGCAGCTACATCAGCTGGCTCTTTCTTCCTGCTTTTTGCTTTTTCATTTCTTAATCACCTAGTTCCAGCCTTCACTACCACAACGTTAGGCGGGACACAAGCCACGTGTTATTTATGAAGGAGACAGCACATGTCTCTCCCGCTCTACCAGCTACCCGGCGGGAGTATTTTGGGGCCTACGGGAATGACAAAACCCGGCTCTCCACTGTAGCCAGGTGCCGCCGCCGCCGCCACCCTGTCATTGAAGCCACAGC